CAACAAACTGCTGAGCCTTCCACCAGGAAATCACCAAGAACAAGGTCTGATGTACGGACTGATGTACCAATTGCTCAACGCAGTGGAAAGAGGAAACGCCCTGTCAAAGCGCAACCTGAGGCTCAACCTGAAGTAGAACATACTCCATTATCCAAATTCATTGATGATGATGTCGGGGAGAGGTTTGAATTGATCTCACAGAAGGGTTTCATCACTCAGAGAACCATTCTCCTTTCTGAATTTCATAAACTTGACCTTGAACCTGTTCTTAAGTTTTTTGAATTCAAAAAATGAACTTACATTCTGACAATTTCCTACACCTATTATCCTGATATGTTTCATCAATTCTTTGCTAATCTTAGAAAGGGTAGCTCATACACTGATCTTGTTTCTCGAGTCAATTCAGTCAATATTACTTTCAATCCTGACACTGTCAATGCTATTTTAAAGATCAAAATTAAATAAGATTTTAAAGAAAAAATTATAAATTTTTTCTCATATGAAGAGTTTCCTTCTACCTATCATCATTTTCATGTTGCAAAATTGATGATATATTTTCAAACACGCCTTAATACACCCGTTGAAGCAAGGTTGAAGGATCTCAATTCTCAAAATTTGATCATGTTCACCATAATTTCAAACTTGTTGGTCCCTATTGATGGTCATAGAACTGATGCCAACAAAATGGAGCTTTACTTGTTTTACTATTTTGTTGAAAAAGTCCGCATTGATTTTGGCTTTGTAATGTGCAAATTCCTGCTTAAAATCAGCACTAACAGCCGTAGGAAACTTTCTTATGAAAAATTTTTAACTCCAATCTTTGCTCACTTTAAGATTTCTTTCACTGAAATGTCACCAAAAGAGAGTGCATCTACCATCTTCTCAAAAACTTATTTTGAAAGAAAAAATCTGAGATTTTTTTATGGTTATTGGTGCTACAAGGAGTCTGTTTTGGAATTTAGGACAAAGAGTCGTCATGAAACTCTTGTCACCCCCAGAACTCCCCGAGATTAGTCTCAATTTGTTTTACCTTTTACCATCCATTCCAAAAAAATTATCCACTCACCCTTCCTCATCTACTCATGAAGTCATTTCCTTGTTTGAAGATCTCAAACAACACATTCTCTTTCTTGAAGATAGTCTAATGATGACCCTGTCACCTGAGCAACAAATCACTTTCATTGACAAAAGAAACTTGCTTGTACCTCCTATCCCTCAAGAAGATGAGAATACGCATCAAAAGAAGGCTAGAACTGAGCCAACTGAGCAAACTTCACAAACTGAATCCACTCCAAAAGTTTATGCTTCCAGTTCTCAGCTACAAGATAAGAGCAAGGCTCCAACAACTGAAAACAGTGATAATGATGAGGAAACTGAAAAAGAAAAAGAAGTGGATCCTACGTAGTTTCGCCTAACAAGGAGGAGGTCTGGATCATCCAAGATCACCATTTAGGCACCTTTAGGCACTTGCATTTCATGTTTAGGATAGCACTTCATAGTAAACATTTGCATCTTTTCTATTTTAACATTTCAAGAACTCTGTACTCATGAATTCTGGTTAACTCTGTTGGTTTGTAGTTTAATTGGTTAACTTTTATATTTTGATATATAACCTTGATGGTTTCTGGTTACTTTGTTGATTAACTTTTATTTGATTAATTTTGTTTGTTTTTGGGCTAATGACTGCTGAATGATTTGTATACCTGTGATTACTGATTTCTGATATCAATTCTTTGTGCCTGTCAACTGCATTTCTGCTATTTTTTGGTATATTATATTGGACATTGGATATTGATTGCATTAGATTGCATCTCTGATGCATCTCTGATATTGATTGCTGATATTGATAATGATGAGTATTATTGATAATGCTGGATCATCAATATATTATTGATGATATTGATGTTGACTTTCTAGTATGATGTGGTATATTGGATTGGACATTGAATTTAATTTCTAATATTGGCTTGATGACAAAAAGGGAGAGAAATGGATGTTAAGAAATTATGTTGATGTTAAGAGGAGATTATGTTGAAATGCCAAGAAGTGTAAACTGATAAATGTGTGAGGGGGAGTTATCCTGAGGGGAAGTGAGTAGTTACAATTTTTTTTTGATGCATTAAGTGAGGGAGAGTTTTTGACTCAATTATTTTTTTCTCCATCCATTGTTTTGTCATCATCAAAAAGGGGGAGATTGTTAATCTTAGTCCCTAACTTTTGATATTTACAAAACAAATCGATGTTACTAATATCTTCTCAATGATCTTTTCAGCAATGAAGCAAATCAGATTCAAAAATTAAGTATAACTGAAAGAGACAAAGAGTGCTGAAAGCTGTCGGACGCTCATGAATACTGGATCGAACGTCCGATAATCATTGCACAACTTCGGACACATGAAAAATACAACCACCAGACGTCCGAAAGAATTAAAACATTCATTCTAGCTCATTGATCTCGATCGGACACAGAGCATTAGAGTACCAGACGTCCGATAAACTTTGCGGCACTTCGGACGCAAAGTTTTGGAAGCTCCGGACATCCGAAAGAACGGAAGAAGATTTCTCAACTACTTTCGCACGCAAGCATAAAAAACATCGGACGTCCGAAAGAATTAAAGAAGTATCTTTAAGCTCACTGCTTGCTGTCGAACACAAAAAACCATTGTACCGGACGTCTGACACACCCAACGGCTAGTTGACTCTTCATCTGCTTTCTATCCGTTGGAAACATTAATAGGACACTTTTTAGTCTCATATAAATCGTGAATGGCCAACAACTTTCAAAGAACTTTTGCACATTGAGAATATGAAAGATTTAGAGTAATTTTAGTGAGAAAATTCTCTTCTAAGAAGATTTGCACTCTTAGTTGTGTAAACTTCGCATAAGATTTTCTTGTGTGAGAAAATTACTTCAATAGTATTACTTTGTGAGGGTTATCCAAGTAATAGTAAAATTTTCTAACTTGACCAAGTGTGGCTTGGGGCAAGGTGGAAGTGATCCTTTCTTTGTACATAAAAATTGGTTGTAATTAATCAACTTGAAAAAGCTTGTTCTATAAAGTAACATTCAATCTCAAGAGGAGTTTGAAATTTGGTTCACTATTCTTTCCCTATTATTTATTATCTTGCAAATATAAATTGCTCATCTCTTCTACTCACAAGTAATCTTGCTTTCTTGTTTACTATTCCATTGAGTGGTCATCTAGAAAAGAGGGTAAATTTCATATTGAGCCAAAAAGTGTCTCATAACCTGATTGATTTTTAAATTACCTAATTGATAGAGCAGTTATTGGGCATATTTTGCAGTGTTATTTTGGCCTAATTTTGGCTATTTATGGTGCTAAGTACTGAGATTTAACTCATATCTCACATTCGTATGAATTATAGGTGATCGGCATTAAAAATGATCTCGCGGGGTAGATTTTCAGAAAACTTGTCGTCCCCGGGCGTGACCACGCCTTGGAAGGTAGACGAAACCGAAAGAGGGACCGTGGTCCATGTGGACCAGGCACATGGGATCAAAACTCCAAAAGGGAAATGGCTTTTGTAGAATCAATTGCACCAGACGTTTCCTTCTTTGACTCTTCTTGGACGGTGGCTATAAAAAGAAAAGGATAAAGCAAGATTGAGCATCATGTACTTTTTAGCCTTAGGTTCTCTTTTTCTACTTTTTGGGGGAGATTGGTCAGACGGTTCTTTTTTTTTGTTTTTCTTTTGTTCCTTCTGCGGCTCTGGGTCAGACATTGGAGACTTTCTCCGTTGCTGTATCTTTTGCTTTTGGCTTCTGTACAATTTTTCCTATTCGACTTTTGCTTCTACTCTCGCTCCAGGGGTACGAACACGAAACCCAACAAAGGGAAGTGAAGCTTTTTCAGCAGTTCCTACGTTAATTCATCTTTTTCAATTCTTCGGCAATTAATTGAATGAATTCAATTAAGTCACGCGGGATTGATACGATGAGGAGCGGCTAATTTTCTCCTCTACCTAAAGGTTGACGCGAGGGCGCGGTCCATAAAATCTGTGAGATCTAATCGAATCTTCATTATTTCTTCCAATTTATTGCTATTCATGCATTTTCTGAATTAATTGTTCATTGGTATTTGATTAATTGAATATCAACGGCCGGGTATTTGATTTAATTTAATAGCCTACTGTCACGTTAATTAAATAGAATCCGTAATTGTTCATTTAATTGACACCTCGTGGCAACCACCATAATTGGTTTTATGATGGGAAAACGCAAGATCTAGCTTAAATAAACCCTCTTAGCGTGTTTATTGGTTAGGATTGGTTCTTCTAGATTTAATGCAATTGGGTAATTAAATTCCTACGGTCGTACCTAGGGTTGTTATCTGGTTAGGGAAGCAGTCAATGGTCGTACCTTGACTGTCGAAAAGGTAAGGAATAATTGGTTGTCAGAGCTTATTGATAACTATAACCAACCTAGTGATGAATGGGTGAAATATCTTTGCATCGATGATCATTTAATTGGACCGTGCCTGAACAGTTGATCCTTTGGGTGGAATTTTGTTAATTGCTATTTTTAGTGAATTGTACTTTGTGAGTTAGTTTTGAATTTTGTTTGTTTTATTTTTTGTTATTTTTATTTGCCTCCCATTGAAAATCCCCCAATTTCGTTCTACTAATTTGGAAAGAAATAATTTCCTACCTGCTCCCTGTGGAATCGACCCTACTTGCCATTGTACGCAAAATTAGTATTTTTATAGACAAATCCGGTATATCGGATCAAGCAAACTCTTTGGGAACAGGGTGAATCAAATAACCCATTGCACACCTAGGGTCCCTGATCCAGTACTTGGATTTGTTCTATAATTATTTAATTAAGGTGGTAATTAGAATTTTTTAGTAATTATTATTGCACAGGTTCGGCACCTGTCAATTTTTGGCACCGCTGCCGGGGAGTTGGCGTTTGGATTATTTGTTTCTTTTCAAATTCAGTTTTTATTTTATTTTATTCTTCTTGGCATTTTTGCTAGTTTATGCCCCGTTCTTCTCGCACAGGTGAATTGATATACGACGCGGAGGTTGAGAAGGCATCGCGTAAGCGGAGGCAAGAGACCAAGAGACGAAAGGAAGGGCACTTATTTATTGCAAACGAGTCAGTAGAAGACGAAATAAACATGGCCAACACCCAAACATTAAGGGAGCTGGCTGCCCCGGAACTGACTCACCAGCCCTTGTGCATCACATTCCCTACTTTGGCTGAGAATACGGCTTTCGAACTGAAGTCGGGGTTGATTCACCTCTTACCTTCTTTCCATGGTTTCTCTGGCGAAAAACCCCACAAACACGTCAAGGAGTTCGAGGTGGTTTGCTCTAGTATGAAACCTCCTGGGGTCACTGAAGAGCAAATTAGACTGAGAGCCTTCCCTTTTTCCCTCAAGGATGCAGCGAAGGATTGGTTATACTACCTACCCGCAGGTAGTATCACAACATGGGCCCAACTTAAGAAGAAATTTTTAGAAAAATTCTTCCCTGCCTCCCGGGCTGCAAGTCTAAGAAAAGAAATATGTAGTATTAAACAGTATCCCGGGAAGTCCCTATATGATTATTGGGAAAGGTTCAATAAGTTGTGCACTAGATGCCCACAGCATCAAATTAGTGAACAACTATTGATCCAATACTTTTATGAGGGACTACAAACGTCCGACAGGAGTATCATTGATGCAGCAAGTGGGGGAGCATTAGCAAACAAAACACCAAGGGAAGCATGGCTACTCATTGAGTCGATGGCAGAAAATTCTCAACAGTTTGGCTTCAGTGAGAGTAACCCTACCCGTAGGGTTAATGAGGTGGAGACGATATCTATTCAGCAACAGTTGTCAGAGCTGACATCCGTTGTTCGACAATTAGCTGTGAGAAATGTGCCCCAAGTAAAGGCCTGTGGAATCTGCACAAATATGGGCCACCCTACTGACTCATGTCCTCTGTTGCAAGAGAATGGGGCTGAACAAGTGAACATGACTGGAGGCGTGCCCGCGCCTCGTAGACAGTACGATCCATACTCCAACACATACAATTCGGGTTGGCGAGACCACCCCAATTTCAGTTATGATAATAAGCCACATAATTCATTTTCTGATCGTCCACCAGGATTCCAGCAACCGTGGCAACAAAAGTCTCAACCCTCGTCCTCCAATTCAGGAAGCTCTTTGGAGGAAATTGTCAAGAGTTTGGCCACGACTACCACTCAGCTCGTCACAACCACCACTCAGCTCCAGCAGGAGACAAGGTCCTTAGTTGCGAGTACTACTCAGTTCAAACAGGACACCAAAGCAGGCATGAAGGACATGGAGATTCGAATGAGTCAAATGGCAACTGCCATTAACCGCCTGAAGTCCCACGTCTATGGGAAATTGCCATCACAACCCGAGGCAAATCCCAAGAATGTAAGCGCCATGACATTAAGGAGTGACAAAGAGGTGGAAGGACCTAAGTTGGTAAATTCGAAAAGCAAAAGTGAGGAGCAGATAGAAAAGGGAATTGAAGAGGAAGGGCATATTCGGAAAGAGTCTAAGGTAACATCTATTCCTTCGATCCCTATTAAATCTGATCTAGCTCCTTTTCCTTGCAGATTGGAAAAGACAAAGGGGGCAGAAAAGGAAAAAGAAATCCTAGATGTGTTCCGCAAAGTTCAAGTAAACATCCCCCTATTGGACGCGATCAAGCAGATACCCAAGTACACAAAGTTCTTGAAAGACTTGTGCGTTAACAAAAGAAAGCTAAGGGGTGATGAAAGAGTGATGGTAGGAGAGAATGTATCAGCTGTACTTCAAAGGAAACTCCCACCCAAATGCGGAGATCCAGGTATGTTTGCTATCTCCTGTAAGATTGGTCATTCTAGTATCAAAAATGTCATGATAGATTTAGGAGCTTCTATTAATGTGATACCTAAGTCAATCTATGATTCGCTAAATTTAGGACCTTTAAAAGAAACGGGGATAATAATTCAATTGGCTGATCGTACATGTGCTTATCCGGATGGGATAGTTGAGGATGTTTTAGTGCAAGTAGAAGGATTAATTTTTCCTGCTGATTTTTATGTGCTTTACATGGATGATAGAAGTGCCCCAAATCCATCACCCATTATATTAGGAAGACCATTTTTGAGTACTGCCCAAAACTAAAATTGATGTTAGTAAGGGTACTCTCACGATGGAATTTGATGGAGAAATAGTCCACTTTAATATTTTTGATACAATGAAATATCCTGTTAACTCTCATTCTGTGTTTGCTATGTATGCCATTAATCCCTCTGTGCAAGAATTTTCTAAGTTTGCTTATAGGGGTAAATCCAAGGTTGCTGCGAACAAGTCCTATAGGATGAAAGCAATTCATGAGGTGAAAATGGAGAGAAAATTTAGGAAAAAAGTTGCACTCAATGGCCATGTGGATCCTGGAGGAGGGCCACCAATTACAAGGAAAATTCAATTACATCCAAACTAAAGAGTGGTGTTATGTCTAGCCAAAGACATTAAAGAAAGGCGCTGCTTGGGAGGCAACCCAAGGCTTCTTTTGTTTTAGTTTTCTTATATTTTTGAAGTTTTTGTTAAGTGTTAGTGTCATTTAGTGGGTTGTTATTTTGTGACAGGAAGTTGGCAGCTAGACATACCCACGCTAGGTCATCACACCTAAGGAATGGAGTTTTGGAATTGACGGTCAGACGACTATAACTTCTAAGGCGTGCCCACGCCTTCCAACCCTTCCGAAAAAGAAACTTCAGTCTTCTCCTTCCTGTTGGTGTTACGTCCGCCGCCACCACACCACCTTGTGCACACAGCCGTCTCACCTCCTCCGCTTTAGTGTCTCACTTTCTCTCCCCGGTGGTCAGGGAAGTTTCTTTTCTTTTCCCCTAATACTTCATTTGTCTTTTCTACATTGAGAACAATGTAGGTTTTAGGTGTGGGGGGATTAATGGCTTCCATTATTTTTTTTTTCTTTGTTACTCAAAAAAAAAAAAACAAAAATAAAACAAAAATAAAATGAAAAAAAAAATAAAATATTGTAGTTAGGCGGCTTTTTGGCTATTTCTATGCTTGTTAGTATTAGGGCATGTTGCTGTGATGAATGACACAATCAAAGTGAGTGGGTATGTGGTCGAATATACTAGCTGTGCATTTTGTTTCCCTTGGCAGTGTCGTTGAATGTTGAATATGCTGGAATTGACCCATTCTTGTAACTTTTGGGGGAGCTTTTGAGCCTTATATGAGCACATTATTCTTGTTTGCTCTATTTTTGTTTGATTGAGTGGGTATCACACATGGTATTGACATTCTAGAACTTGCTAGTTTATACATGTCAAGGCCACATTTTTGTTGAATTGGATGCATTTGAAATGATAAGGGCATTTAGGATTTAACCCTCTTTAGCTATCTAAAAAAATCAATCCCTCATCTTATCTCCCAATAGTGAACCAATTTGAGCTTTTGTCCTTCATTTCTGGTTGTTATCCGTGTTTGTTAACCCAAGCCCTCTTTAAACTTTCTTGTTTACCCCTGTGTTGTCAAGGGATGCCTGAATTCCATCATTTGTGCAAAGCAAACAAAATTGGGGTTGCAAGTGCTGTTAGATTAGGAGCTATATGATGCTATCCTTGTATAAAGAAGGGAAAATTGGAAAAAGGCCACTGACCAGAGGACTTTGGCTTACAGGGCGTGCCCACGCCTTACAGGACTTTCTCCTTAAAAAAAAAAAAATCCTGAAGAGACCTCGTGACCAGAGGACTATGGGGTACAAGGCGTGCCCACGCCTTGCAAGCAGTATTCAATCCAAAAAAAAAAAAAAAGAGAGAGAAAGAGAAAAAAATTGGGGACACTTGTACAAAGGGTACAGCAAATGAAAACTGCCTTGTTTGTGAAACTCCTCCGGTGAAGCACTGTGGTTATTGGTGAGTTTCGGACATTCTCTTGATACTTTACCCCCTATCTATACCTTCTTAACCCGCCTTTCACCTGAGCCCCATTACAACCTTATTAAAGTCCCTTTGATTTATGTGTTTAGTTCACTTTTAAGTGGTGGAGATGTGATGAATGTGCAAGCGTATGGTAATGGCATTCCGTGATGTTGATTTGAGCGTTCCTAGTATTCATATATTGTAGACACCAAATTTTTGCCAAATTTTTGTCAAATTTTATGTTTTATTGAATATTTTCTATTTGATGAATCATTTGTTTTCTTGTATTTTAAGTATATTTTGTCTCATTTTTGTAGGTTTATCTTAAAAAAAAGAAAAGAAAAGAAAAGAAAAAAAGAAATAACAAACAAAAACCCATTTGACAAAAATCCCTTGGTTCCCTCCTGAATCTCGGGGACTGACAAAAAAAAAGAACGGCACTTTTGGGGCTCAAGAAAAACTACTCCCTCAATTCAGCACACTCTCGGTTCTCTCCCTGACACAGGGACAAGAAACAAAAACGGACAGAAAGAAAAAATTCTCTCCCGAGCCCTCCTCAGAAGCTCTCAACAGACGAAGGAAAAATTTGCAGAGAGGCCCCTGATTCACTCTCGCATCTCTCCCTCTCTCGGACGAAGGCTACGGACAGAAAACGGAGAAGGAAAGAAAATTTTGCAAGAGGTCCCTGGCATTTCTCTCTCGGCTGGAGCAGAACGAGCAAACAAAAAGGGAAGAAGAAATTTGCAGCAGAGGCCCTGGCTCCTCCCTTCTGGAATTCTCCTCCTTCGGATCTAGGCAGAAAGACAAGAAGAAAATTTGCGGCAGAAGTCCTTGGCTCATCTCTCTCTGTCTCGCCTCTCTCAGCCAGAAGAAAAGAAAAACGCAAGAGAAAGGAAGAAATTTGCGAAAGAGACCTGGACTCTCTCAGTTAGAGTTCTCAGCAGAACAAAGGAAAAGGGAAGAAAAAAAATCTCTCGGCTCTTTCTCTCAGATTCTCCCTCTCATTTTTTAGCAAATAAAACACTCCCTCTCAAATTTTCTCTTGGACAGGGCAAGGCCAATAAAAATGATTGGAGCCTGCAATTTCATCAAATTTTAATCAAGAGACTACAATCTTCATTGAGGTATTTATTCTTTTTATCTTTTTTCCAACTTTTTCCTTTCTTTAATTTATTAAATTAAATACATGATTTGATGTTTGTTTGTCCCTTGGCTTCGTTTGTTGTTGTTACTGATGTTGTTGAATTTTTGGGGAATCCATGAATAAACATTAAAAAAAATGATTTCTGTGAATGCATGCTAATTGTTTAAAAAATGTAAAAAATGGGAAAAATGAATTTCAAGGGCTGTTTTGCTTTATTTTAATTTTTTTAATGTTGGTTTCTTGTCAAATAAAATCATAGTTATATTGTAGGAATTGTAAGGAGTGTTGTAGTATAATTTTTATAATTTTTGGTAAAAGATAAGGTGATTTGAAAAAATAAAAATCGTGACTGTTTCTGGCATTTTGACTATCTTCGGATTATTTTCTGTACAAATTAAATCCGGATTTGAAATCTACTCGAAAAATCGAGTGAAAATGTGTGTTTTGATAATTTTTGGGTGACCGGAAAAATTGCCGGCGATCGGTAACCGGAGGCACCGTCAGCGGTAACCACGGCCACCGACAGAATGTTGTAGGAAAAGTTGCAGAAGTTGATTTCCGAAGCTTTGCATGATAATCTGGAAAATTTGCGGTTCAGCCCCCAACTTTCAAATAATTACATTGTGGCCCAAAAGCTTTTGTAATTGAACCAGTCATGTCCTTATTGAGTTTTTATTTTTTATTTTTTATATTTTAACTGCATTTCAGGTATGTTGTTTCTGTGATTTGAGGGTGTAATTATATTCTAATGATTTTGATAGATTTATTATTTTGATTGGGTTTGATAAAATAATTGGAGTTTTTTGGGTTGGGATTTGTTTGGTTGGGTTTGGTATAAAATTTGGATCATTTTATTGGTTTTTAGAAATGGGTTTTGGTTTATTTCTTGTGGGTTTGGGTTAGGCTAAGAAGTCAAAATCCATGTATTTATTTGAGTTGATTTGAGTGATAAAAGACGGGCTGGCCTGTGAGTTTTGGCTTGGATTTCGGTTGGGCTAGGAGGTCATAGCCCATGTATTATTTGGTTGGGTTTGGGGAATGGACTTTTGTTTTATTTCTTTCGGGTTTCGGTTGGGCTAGAAGGTCAGAGCCCATGCCTTTATTTTGGTTGGATCTGAGTGATATAAGACGGGCTGGCCTGCTCGTTTCTTTTGGGTTTCGACTGGGCTTAGGCAGTACTCGGCCCAAATAAATAAATAATGGCCCAGTGGCCTGTTTTCTTAAGAAGATCTGCTAGCGAATTTGCACTTCAGTCCCTGATCTTTGGAGTAATTTTACTGTGGCCCAGAACATTTTAAATTCCTTTCACTTAGGTACTTAATTTAATTGCACTTTGGTTCTTGAATTTTATCTTTCATTTAATTTTGACCCTTAAACTTTGGAAAAATATAACTTCTGTCCCTAAAAGTTTTCAATCTTTGCAATTCAGTCCCTGATGAATTTTGACTCTCTTTATTATGATTGTTTCTTTTCTTTAATAACTAATTATGTTATTTTTGAACATATTCAACTTGCAATTTTTAGATGTTCTTAAATTTCTTTGCGTTTAACATGTTAATGTGAATTTAGTATTTTAACATTATTATTATTTTCAATTAAAGTGGTGCCATGATTCTTTTGTTCATTGTGAGTATAAATAGGACAATTTGACTCCATTTAGTCACCACTTCAAACGGGAGGTACTCCTATTTTATTATTTCAATGTCAATTACGTGTTCTTATGTGCTCCTATTTGTTCCTATGTGTTTATATATTTTTATATGCTTTATTTACTTGATTTAAATATTCATTCAAATTTTCTTATATATGTTTTAGTTAATTTTTATAATGATTCAAGAGGCATTTAAATACCTCAAAAATGTAATAGATAGGATAATTAGATTTGTTTTATTATATTTTTCCCTTCTAGATTGTAGTTAGGCGCCCCCGATGTAATAGATAGATTGCGTGTTTATGTGGCTTATGTGTTATGTGTTTTGTCCGCTTTTCTTAGGATTTTGGCATCTAGATATTATGTTTACGTGTTATGTGCTACGTGCTCTTATGTGTTTATTTGTTTCGCTATGAATTGTTAATGCATGACGTCACCACACTAGTCCAACGCTAGTTGTGGTTTCTCCCTCCGCTTACTTGCTAGTCCAACGCTAGCAAGGATTTTTAGAAATGGGCTAGTCCAACGCTAGACCCTTTAGGTCATCTTGTGCTAGATTCATCATTGTATGCTATTCACCACATTTTCATGCATATTTTCATTTTTAGGATCTTTTCTCATTTGCATGATATTCCCTATTTTATTATCCCCTACCCGCTATAGGTGCTAATCATGTCATTTAGAATTGCATCCCATTTAAGCTAGTTCATTTGCTTGTTCATGTTAGGATAATTATTTTTCAAACATGGGAAATGGGT